CATGTAAATACGTACACTTTCCAGGTAGAGTATGCTATTTACTTGAAAAATAATATGTATCGTTTTTATTTATTAATGTTTCACCATTTTTTTTCTCCTTGAGTCCTAAATTCAAAAAAAAAAAAATCATGAAGAATATTACTTAATATGTATAATTAATAAAGGTTCAAAGATTCTAGTAATATTTTTTAAACAATTTTCGAATGAGTTTCTTAGTTTTATAGAACGCATTTTTTGTCATAGTAAATTATATGGTTAGATAATAATTTAAAATAGTCACTATAATTATTCATTTTTGAAAACTACAAAAACTAACTTCGACATTCGTCTTACAAATAAAAACACAACAACTATTTTAATAATTTGTTTTAGTAAGTTCAACATTGGCTATAACAATCGATCGTTTTCTGATTAGATTCAGGGTAATACCTATAATATTTCATCCAATAATTGGGTATTTCAAAATTATGCATTATTATACTTTAGATAAAATAATATTGGTATAGACATCATACGGCACCAATATAATTGCAACAGGAGATAAAGTTAATAGCATATACAACATCACTATCGTAATAATATGCGCAGTACTCAAAATATTACTGATACTCAATGCGACGTAATATTTAAGTTTTAAGTTTTAAGTTTTATATTTTAGATATTATCTCTACTATACCAAAAAAGTTTTTTAAATATTATTCAGTGTATTATAATTATTGCCATGGTGACCGATAAATGAGTAAATAATAATTTTAAAAAAGAGAGAAAGTAGGTAAACGAACTTCTATAGGTACAGTATATAATATTATAATGTGTCGAATGTACCTACCTATCGTCATTGAACAGGTACTGTAGGTAATGTGTTGATGTGTTAAATTTGAATTCAATGATAAATCATGAGAAACGATGAAAAACGATTCTGAGAGAAGTCGTTTTTTCCGATTATTTTAAAAAAGACAGAATTTTAAATGTTGACCTCCTTAAAGTATTAACTAGAACCAATTGCATACAAGAAGCATCCATCGAAACTGATAATCAAAGCATTTTTTCTACAAAATAAGTGTCTTCAAACTGCAAAATAAAAACGCACATCACCTAGAATCTACAACAAAACAATATGGATATTTAATTATAAAAAGTATTATAAATAAAATATGAGGGGAGTTAGTAAAATATATTTGAATTGGCGAGTGTAGTTAGTCGTGGGTGAAGTCCCCTAGTTATAGTTCAAACAATACGTGTAATTATATTTTACAAGGGGAATACAGTAATAAAGTTTCAAACATAATATTCAAATGTGCACTATAATGCACAGTACATTGTTGTGTTGTGATATCATATTTTATATTCATTCATTTTAATAATTTAATAATAAGATTCATATTATAATAAATATGAGTAGCTGAATTATTGACTAGGCTTGTGATAATTAATTATGTTGTTATATATTAAATTGTTATTAATTAGTGCTCATATTATATTGTATTTTACTATATTTTATTTTATGGAACAATATTTCGACCTACATTTATTATGAGCATTTTTTTTTCATGCTTTTATTCGTATTAATTATTATAAATGATTGAAATGGGTCTGGGCGATTTTTATCTCTTCCATTTCGAACTAAAAAATGTATAAATTGGATCGGAAGCACTACATTTTTTTCAAACCAAATAATATATAATTCAGATCACCGGAAATGGTTAAATAATACACATATTATAACTTTATCATGATTTCAACTCGGGTAAAAATTAAAGCCAAATTCTGAAACCCATCTAATGGAAACTTAAAAAAAAGTTTTCGATTTCGGCTATTCAGTACCCACCCATGCTATTGTCAATATAATCGAATAATCGAATAAATATTGCGCTGAATTGCTTAAATTTTCTGGTAATAAAATGTAATCGAAGCTGTCACTGTCTATAAAATATTCTTCACTGAACTACCAAACTGGGCATACTGATCATATTTCGGTTAAATTTTGTAAACAAGTTGTTATATTCGTGGTAATAAAGTTATACTGTTTGAGAATAAACTAAAAAATGGTACATTGTATAATATAATATAGTATAACAAACATTATTTATTGATAAACGTTGCATGTAGTAGTAGCATCAAATTGCTTGGTCTCTGCCAGTGAGGAATATGGAGCTCGTTTAATGGGGTGGTGAACAGGTATCATGTGTATATAGTGTCGTAAACACTGATCGCTTACGGCGAACACTATTAGGTACACACAACAATTAAAATATTATAACTCTTTATTACTGTTTTGTCCACCAGTGTCACAGTGACAATATCAAACGATCACCGCTATAAAGGACTCACATTCGTCTGCCGAAATCACTTATACAGTATTACGGCTTAACCTAGTTTCTATTTTACTATATCTATTAAAACTTACTAATTAAGACTTGATACTAAATTGTATTACATACTACATAGTTTATAGTTCTAATAATATTAATAATGTTTATGTTTATGCATTATGCATGATACAACATGATACCTGTATAAAGTACTAACAAGTCCATGGCTGAAAAAAATTTTGGTTGGAGAAATAAAGCCATTTTTTTTTAATATACTGCACACTCATAGTTTGTTCCTGTCTTGGGTACCTATAATGATTCAAGAAATCATTACACCTCGAAATAAAGAATTAACAGTTTTAAATAGTAAAGTTTTCATTAATTCAATCCCAAAGTGTTTCTACATAGACATATTACTTCACTTAATGATGATGGAACCGTGTAAAAATATTTCAATAATATTTCCTCCCGACCATCTGTAATATCTATGCTGCCACACTCCCATCCGATCCATAAGCTCGATGCAAAGATTGCAAAGATGATATAATTCTTAAAACGTGTCTCATAATAGTTCAAACTGTCCACCTCAGTGGAGACCGTATTAAAACTGTACTGAAGTTCGTCCCCTATACGTCGTGTAGTACGTCTCTGTCCTATGGGACTCCTATATTGCATCCAACTCATCAATTATGGATCGTGTATAAAGGTGCTTCTTCGACTTCGCAAGTCACGTTCCCAATATCAACCACACGTTGAGTGACTATGGAACTGTCCCACATGCATTAGGCATGTAGCTATCCATCTGATAAAAGAGTTTATGCCAATTTAAAATTTTTCCAAAGAATTATTGATGGTACATAATAATATAATGTACCCACTTCCCTATCATGTATTCGTTTCCGAGTTCTCCAACACTCCAACCACTCTGTAGCTCTTTCGCGTCTCCTCCGTGTCTCTAACTATGATCGTAATCAAACGATTAGTACATCAACAGACTAATGTGCCTGTTAAAAGAGTCCTTAACCAATACCTGAATAGTTCGTGATTAATAATAATGCAATGATTTTGTTTTGTATTTACTTAATTCTTTATAATATTATATATCGAATTTCATTATCTTATTATTTAGACTTACTAATTTTACTTCCATCAATTTTTTTTTACCAGAAACCTCTATTGGAGTTCATAATCTTAGCAAACTTTTCTATACTGAAAAAGGTCTCTTCGAAACCAAAAAAAAAAAAATACACATTATTGTAAAATACATTCATCGTTTTTCTCAGAATCTAAAATGCAATATAAATCTTAACAATAGCAGTAAGTCATCGAAATTTAAAGAAACATAAAAGCATATAAATTTTTTCATATATCAAGTAGGTAAATAACTAGTTAAAATTTAAAGTTTTAAAATTTGTTCCAAAATAAATATCTAGTTAACTAAGAAGATAAACGACGTAGATAATATACCTACACCAAATGTAAGATGTCTATAAGAAAAAAATTCAAAAAGCAATTCATAAAAGTAAGTTTTAATTGACGGATAGTATAACAAAAGAAAATTATTTAAAAAGTAATATAAAAAACTAAAACATTTCTTCAAAAAACCAAAAAATACTGAAAAAAAATATTATCTAAAATTATAATCGTTGATTCAAATTTTGTATTGAAAAACTATATTTTACTATACGCTGAAAATAATGCATTTTCATACACATTATTATTATTATTATTATTATTATATTATACATCAGTAAATATAAATATACAATGATATTTTAATTATTATAGTTTAGACAAAAACTTAATATTATTTACAACTTATCATTTTCATTGACTAGAAAATCAAAAAAGTACATTTAATCAATCAAGTTATTATGATTCCATATTGTTGCCATTGTTCAGGTGACAATTTAAAATAATACAATCAATACCATATACCTATACATTTGAACAGTTAATTCGAAATCATCTGTCCTGACATTTAGAATCTGTTCTGTAAGAATTTCCAAAGGAAAACCAATTGTTATACCAACGATTTTTGGCCCCGACCTTTCTAAATAAAATTTGTTGTATGCTATTTTTCGTTCGAAACAAAATATGTATTGTTATCTATGCAAATCGGTCAAATATTTTGAATTACATATTTTACAAGAAATACATTAATATTAAGATTTAATACCGGATAAATTAATTGTATTTTGTGATACACGAGTATGGACTTATATGAGTTAGAGTAAACTTGTAATTCAGTGGTAATTAACTGAAGAATAGAACATACTTGACATAATTTTATAAAGAACATTGTAGAAAATGAGGTTTTTTGTTTCTTTTGCAGAATAATTGTGTTATATAAAATTATTATTTATATTATTTTTTTAAGTTATTGAAATATTAATCGTTTTTTTTTTATTGTTAAACTTATTTAACATTTAAATTGCTATAAAAAAATTATTATGGTGCATAATGGTAAATAAATAAATGTTTTTATACTCTGGGGTTTTTCGTTTAAAGTAACAGAATATAATCGTTGTTATAACGTGCATCCAATATCAACAACTAGACACCGATTTAGGGTTGTGTAACGTGCTCAGTGGTATGTCGATGTGTACATAACATTGTAACAACTCGTCTAACAAAGTTTCTCGTGTCGTAAGTATCACATTATTAATTATGATTTTCGTTTCACAGTGCCTCCGCAGAAACCGGTCATCCTGAGCGAGTACAACGAGGAGATAGAACACACAGGACCGTTCTACGAAGGCGATCGGGTGAAATTGACATGCATGGTATCCGGAGGTAATGTCATTTTTACCAATCTTATAATATAATATTTTTGAATCATACACATAATAATTCTTTGCAACTCATTAAGGAACAGTGATTTTTTTCAAACTAATGCAAGTCACTTAAAACAAATATTAGATACTAAAAACACTAAATGTAATGAAACTACCATAATATAACGAGCTTACATTCAAGAAATTCTTCGTTTAACAAAATATGTTTTAGAACCAAATCAAAATATTAAAACATATTCAATTGTATTTAATAAAATTCACTAAAATAGGCATATTTTTTTTTCTTGCCCTTGAGTTTTCCAATTTTCACTGTAATTTAAACTGCCATTACTATACTCATTATGTTCAACTAAATACTATCGTGAGCAGTAGGCAAATATTATAGGTACGCCAATAATTATAGGTTAACCAATCGAGATCGTAGACATAAGAGGAAAAACATAGTGCATCGTGTCTTAACATTCAGTTTTTGTGTAGGAATTGAACGTTTAAAATTTCACTCGACCGTGTCGATTAAATAATATTAAAAACACTACGATGGTATCAGTTGGCGTGCTAGAATGCGACACACCAAATTTATTCGAACAAAATGCGTCACAAGTATCTGGGGGAAAATTTAATTTCACACCTCCGTTTAAAGTGTATCATCGTTTAACTTTAAATACTCGTCAATGTACATCATTGTAGATGGCTGGTATACATTATAATATATTAAACAAAACTCTTGATTTGATTTTGCGAGTACCTACCAAAGTTATGAATCATATGTCTAATTTATACAGTTCACCACGGAGAATTATAATTATGACCGTGATGGCATTCTAGCATTTTCTACTACCACATAATGCAGTGTTCACATTTCTCGGTGAAATAAATTACTTAACAAATAAAACATTATTATACACGATCGTGTTATTATGGAAAATGGATAGTTTTTAGCTACCTACATATAAGGTAAGTTAAAATTATTACGTATTCATTACATACTACAGCTATTCGCATAAACTTAATAATATGTAACTTAAAGTTGGATTAATATTTGTTAAAAGTTTTATCATTTATAACGTATGTCAGGAAAAGTGCGAAGAAGCATAAAATGTGTATACTTTATAATATGCGATCTTGTCAAAAACTTATAGAGTTGAGTTTCTTTGTTATAAATTGTTAATCACTACAAAAATACATTTGAGAAAAAATAGGATATACTGTTACACGAAAAGAACTTAGGTTAAAGTGTGCAGTATATTATATCGTATAAAGTATAAGCCACTGTTTTAAGTAGTCCACTACTGTTCGCAGTTTTAAATTATTTAACAATGTTTTTCAAAGTACCTAACTATGAATTATATCATTCAAAACAAAACGTGTTTTTTACAAATTAATGAACCCATATAATATGATAAAAATTACGAATACAAAGCGTATATAGAGGAACGTTTTAAATTGATTTAGAATAAAAGTAAAACAAAATAATACAATGGCATTCTGCAAGTTCTTAATTCATATATCATACAATACCCATACAAAACTCGTATACAAAAATTGAGTACAAAAAATTATATATTTTAACTTTATATGATAATGGTTCGAAATTCAAAAATACATATGATAATTAATCAAAGTAAGAATACTGTTTTATTTATTTTCATTCTGAGTATGTTAGTTATTTGCTTGACGTCATTGTTTTAATTTCATATTAAGCAAATATACACATAGCATATGTTCTTGAGAAATACGATAAATCATTAAATATTTAGTCTGTATTCATAATTTATTATATGTGATGAAAGGAATTACTTATTCTATTATTTCTTCGCTTTTTAATTCTTAAATTGTACACCAATCGTAGCCCAATACAAGAAAAAGTAATTTTATCTATTTAAAAAAAAATCGAATGGTTTTTTATCAAAGGCATACAACTATACTATACCTAATCGTCAAAAAAATTCAAAAAACTGTAAGTCAAAATACTAACATCAATTTTTAGACACCTATCAACCATGAAAAACATAAAACGAAAATGAAAAAAGAAATTATGTACCTTAACTCTGGAGAAAGATCTTATAACTGGATGTTGAATAATTCAAAAACTAAATTGGAGGTCAAGCTTATGATAATTCAGATGACGATAATAGTGCATGTATATACTTGCAGTATATATTTCTTATATAAAAACTAAAAATAATAGGTTTGTTTTATGTTTAAAACACAAAAAAATCCATCAGTGGTTAATAAAAAACAAAGTGTTCAAAGGTAATATTTTCAAAAGAAAAAATTACATTTGAAAAATTAAATTACTAAAGATTGTTGTGCAACATAGAAAATATATAACAATTATTAACAATGTATTCGAGGTAAGGTAAATAATAATATATAAAAACCGATTTATTATGAAAATCGAATATTCATCTAATAGGATGGTTATGGTTGATGTAGGTCACTGTTATAAAGAATAAATATTTTTATAAACCTACATTTTGACCAAGTAACACACAAAATTCAACTTTGAACATGGAAATCCTTAGAAACCTACTGTGTATTTTAAGTGAGAAAAAAATTTAAATATTTTTTTTTAATAAGTTAATGACTTCAAACTTAAAATGTTTTCAAAAATACACACATTTAACAACAACTCAGTGATAAAAAAATCATCTTATTTATAATAATATATACATACAAAACTATACCTCTAAAATAAATAAAGAAAAACTTAATCTATTAATATAGCGTACCAAAATGACGAGGAAAAAATAATCAAAAACCACAATCCGATTGTTCCCATTTGAGATTCAGTGCTGATCGAGGGAACTATTTGGTTTACAATAGGTTTTCCCTTTTTTTTCGAAAACAATTTTTAGGATAGTAAAAGTGTTGCGTGTGACCTTATCAATTGATTGGAAATTGAACAAAGTTCGTATTTTATAAAGGTCAAATTTCTTAGTAGTTTAAAAACTCATTTGAAAAACTGCAAAGAACCTAATATATAGTGTACCCATTTTTAATAAAATCTCGTCCATTTTTAAGCAAACCGATTTCCGCTCTGATTCGATTTTCAAATGCATCGATTTATTATTATTCTCAAATTTAAAATAATAATAAGGATATTTTAAAGCGGATTGCGTTAAATTAGTGTGTGCTATAGAGACAATTGTCTAACATCTTATGTTTGTAGGTAACCTATATTGTACTTATCTCTAACTGTACGTTTCTACATTTGTAAGATAAACTACTTTATTGTGAACGTAAACAAATAACAATTAACCTGAAACAAATATGAAATAATAATTTGCAATTGTAGGAGATAAGGGCTAGGATTGAAATTCAGAAATTGTAATTAAATACTCAGATACACGGTTTTCAACAAATAAAAGCAATGGGTGTATCATCAAAGACAAAATGTATTGTCCAACCCAAGTTTCATAGATAATCTATCAGACTTGAAGTTCTGTTTACCAAAATTCAAAGAGTCTGGTTTAGTTCAGAATATAAAAATAAAAACAGTATATATCATTATATATATGTATTGTACAACTGACTATTTTATAAGAAAACAGTTTTACAATTTCATAATATTTCCGTTAGTCCCAAAAATTAAAAATTAAAAAATATACAAAAATCCATTGAGTTTTAACTATTGATTGTTTACATTTTTACTCCAAGTAACACTTCACATCAAAAACTATAAGAAGGAATTATTTTCTCAGGCCATGAGATACCGGCAATAACTGATACTATTTTGTAATGAATATTCATTTTAACTATACTAATTAACATAATGTTGTTTATGTTTATAAATATGAAAATTTCACATGCAATTCAAAAGAAGAAATTCCAAACTCAAGAAATTCAGAATCAATTAAATAGTAACTTCATAGTATGTTTAACTTGATAAGTTGATTATAATTTATAACAATGAATCCCTAAGGTCAAAAATTATCTTCACTTGTTATTTATAGCATTTATAGCAAATGCTTTCCAGAATCAATGGATGAAGTTTACAAAATCTACTTTAATCTAAGTACGGTCTTAATATTGCATAAAACGATTGACTTCGAATAATAATAATAGTATATAATACTATATATACATTTTTTTTTATAAATATTCATATAATAACGGTAGTTAATATTATTCGTGTTATATTATCAATCACAGAAAAATGAAGATAATTTTCATACTTATACGAGTGTTATTTAAACTTCAAAATTAAATCAAAAAATTACAAACTTGATTGATTAATGAAACATTTGAGATTCCCAATATTTACGACGTGTTTATGTGTTTATAAGTTTTAAAGTATATTTATTTACAATGAAATATATTTTTATTTTTGAATATGCATACAACATCAATAGATAATTTTTAAAAGTATAATGTAATAAAATCAATTTACAAATTCATTACATCGATTTTCATACTTCAAACTATTATATTATCTAATATGACATGAAACAGCAATGGAAATATACAAATTGTAAGCATTGATTATTAAATATAAGTTAATAGGAAAAACGTTCAAATGAGATTAGTGGATACAGAGGAGTAGTCAGGATTATAAAAAGGAGAGGTAGAGGGGTTAAGCATACATTAAACTGAGTTTTTTATAGTTTTTGTATATAAATAATAATATCAATAATACATTTATAAGGAAAAGAAGCAATGGGAGGGGGGTGGGAAATACCAAAAAAAACTCTGTCTACGCCACTGAGTGGATAAGTGAAAGACAAATAAGAATACAAATTTTTTATCCAATCATACACTCGTATTGTGATATAGAATAAAAAAAATAATAAATATTACCATTTTAAATACTTCAATACAGTAAAATTTTAAACAGTTAGTTTAAAAATAATTTATTTAATTACAGAAAAGGTATCTTCTTAACTTATTTTATCTTCCATACTTACTCTCATTATAATATGATAAAATTTTTAGATTTTAAAAATTAAAAAATGTAATATGATACAGTTTGTCATTTGATTATAATTGAAAAATGAA